TTCATAAAGCTAGTAAAGGGCTCAAGATTCATGGTTCATAAAGTGCCTGTTGCCATGAACAAGCCTCTGCCAGCGCAGCCACACATGATGCACCAGCACGTGGGTGTGGTTGTGTTCCAGGAGCGCTTCATGGACACTGACATCTGAAATTCACGTAATTTTTTCGCAACATGAAATATTCTTGTGAATTTTTTCTAAACGTTTAAAAATGCAAAAGACTCATCTCAGCTGCAGGCCGTGCGGACCACAGGCAGTGAGCTGGATTTGGCCTGTAGATGGTAGTTGGCCAACCTCTGCTCTAAGGCTGTTGATTTTCAGACTGTTTTGGTAGTGACTATCTGAAAGGTATTTAATTTTATATCAAGCCTAGAGCAGGGGCAGTCATTTGCCCTAGCAGTTAAGACACTGGTGCAGATGGCTGCATCTTACACTGGAGGACCTGGGTACCGTTCCCGACTCCTGCTCCTGATTCCGGTTTCCTGCTGACGTAGACTCTGGGCAGCAGCAGATGAAGGCTGTTGATGAGTCCCTGCCACCCACATGGGAGACCTACACTGAGTTCCCAGCTCGGAGCTTCCGGCTCTGTTCCAACCCTGGCCATTGCTGGTGTTTGGGGAGTGAACCAGCAGATGGCATTTCTGTTGCTCACGCTCCCTCAGAAAAATTGTTTTTTAAAAAAAAAAACTAGGCCCGCGCCGCGGCTCACTAGGCTAATCCTCCGCCTAGCGGTGCCGGCACACCGGGTTCTAGTCCCGGTCGGGGCGCCGGATCCTGTCCCGGTTGCCCCTCTTCCAGGCCAGCTCTCTGCTGTGGCCAGGGAGTGCAGTGGAGGATGGCCCAAGTGCTTGGGCCCTGCACCCCATGGGAGACCAGGAGAAGTACCTGGCTCCTGCCAGCGGATCAGCGCGGTCGGTGCGCTGGCCACAGCGCGCTGGCCGTGGCGGCCATTGGAGGGTGAACCAACAGCAAAAAAAAGGAAGACCTTTCTCTCTGTCTCTCTCTCACTGTCCACTCTGCCTGTCCAAAAAAAAACAAAACGAAACAAAACAAAACAAAAAAAACTAGAGCATACATTAGCACACATACATGTTCCCGTATGAAGGATCTTCTAAAAAGTGTGTGGAAAATGGACATTATGAAAAAAACTAAGTATGTGTTTCAAAAATGTTTTGCATCAAAATAAGCTTATTTTTAAATTCTGTTTTCCACAAACTTTTTGAAGTGCCTTGCTGGTATAATTAAATCTTAGGTTTCATGAAAACATTTCTTGAATTTTCTATGAACTACGAACTCTGATATTTTTCATTTTCTTACAGGTGATTTTGTTTTAAAATGCTGTTGAGATCCAGGGAATTGCTTTTCTGACTGTACCCCCACCCCTACCTGCAGTGGGTCAGCCACCTCAAGCAGTTTGAAAAACTCTGCTCTAGGGGGACCGAAGTCTGTGCTCTGGGTGGTGGTGGTGGTATGATAGTCCCAGTGGCTGTTTTGTATTCATCAATGCCGAGGTTTCTTCAAATTTGCCAGTAAATAACATAAGGACCAAAAAAAAGATGCTATCACAAACCTGCCAAGGGCAGCGTGACAGAACTGCCTGCCTCAACCTGCCTGGCACCAGGTGTTGTAGAGAATCTCACATGGCTCCCTGTCTTTCTTGATGTGTGATGCCTGCATTTCACGTGAGCTGAGCAGAATTCAGATGAAGTGAGAATTCAAAGCGACAGCAAGCCCTAGCCTGAAACCTCCCGTTTGGCAGCTATGAGAAGACTTTGGACCGTTTGCATGATAGTCATGTTTGTCACCAGCTGAGGTATTTGAAAAGTGTGACAATTTCAGATACTAACCTCCTGGTGCACCACAGCTAAATATTATAATAGACCAGATCGTGGTTGGCTTTATTTCTTTATTTTTACAGAGTTCAATGTGATTGGAGGACAAAAAATCAAATGCCTGGCAACTTTATTCCAGTGGGGGATGGCATTTCATACTCTTCGACTTACACCTCAAAGAGTTGGGACTGGAAAACAGAGACTAGATGACACTTGCCTGTCATTTCCCGTTGCCCATTTCTCTCCCATCACTCCTCTCCGGCCCCCTACTTTTGCATTTCTGTCTAGATTGTAAAGGTAGGATGAGGGAAGCAGAGAAAGAGCAACTTGAAATCCTATTAAGACTTCATGTCTATCCCTACTTTCTTTTTTTAATTATTATTTTTATTCTTTATTTATTTGAGAAGGCAGGAGAGAGAGATTTCCCATCTGCTGATTTATCCCCCAAAATGTCCACAAAGCTGGAACTGGGCCAGGCCAAAATCAGAGTATGGAACTGGTTCTAAGTCTTCAACATGTGTGACAGGGACCCAACTACTCGATTCTTTACCTGCTACCTTCCAGGGTCTGCATTAGCAGGAAGCCGGAGTCAGAAGCAATGGCCGGGAATCAAACCCAGGCACTCCAACGTGGGATGCAGGTGCCCTAACTGGTGCCATAACTGCTGGGCTAAACCCCTGCCCGTATCTCTGTTTTCACCTTTCTCCTCCCCGTGCCCGCTTTCCACCCAGGGCATGTGAATGGCAGGGCTCTTTCTGCTCCTTTCTCACCTCAGTGTCAGTTCAGTTCAGTTTAGAAAACCTCTATTGCAAGCAGTGCCTGAGCTAGTTTCTGGGCATACAGTGGTTTATGCGATGGGAACCTGCTCTTTAGAAGCATAGACTAGCATTGGGTCCTCTCGTTCGGTGAGTTGGGATGTGCAGAATGTCTCTGGGAGCTGTGAAGTTGTGGATAATTGTCATGATGTAAGCAATCAATCATTCCTCACCAGCATGGCTGTCCTATGCTGAACAGGATTACCTTCTGCCCGCCAGCAGCCTCTTCATTCCTTAAGCCCCAGCTCTTTTTACTTTAGGTACAAAAGACATACACTGTTATAACTACATTAGAGAAAAAAAAATCTTTTAAATTTATCCACGATAAACAGTTATATAGCAGTACTAAAGAAAAAGATTCTGGGGCCAGCATCATGGAGCAGTGGGTTAAGCTGCTGCTTCTCACACCTGCATCCCATGTCAGAGCACAGATTTGAGTCTCAGTTGCTTCATTTCCAATCCAGCTCCCTGCTAATGGCCTGGGAAAGCAGTAGAAGATGGCCTGAGTGCTTGGGCCCCTGCCACTCACGTGGGAGACCCAGATGAAGCTCCTGGCTTCAGTCTGGCCCAGCTCTTGTGGCCATTTGGGGAGTGAACCAGCATCTTTCTTTCCCTCACCCCCTTCCCCCACCCTTCCCCTTCTGCTTCTCAAATAAAATAAATCTTAAAAAAAAAAAAAAAAAAAAAAAAGATTACAGGATAACCTACACAGTAGAGCCTAAGAAATCTTAGTTTCTTCTCTAGTATGTTCTCTTTAAAATATCTTAAAATGCCGGCGCCGCGGCTCACTAGGCTAATCCTCCGCCTAGCGGCGCTGGCACACCGGGTTTAGTCCCTGTTGGGGCGCCGGATTCTGTCCCGGTTGCCCCTCTTCCAGGCCAGCCCTCTGCTGTGGCCAGGGAGTGCAGTGGAGGATGGCCCAAGTGCTTGCTTGGGCCCTGCACCCCATGGGAGACCAGGAAAAGCACCTGGCTCCTGGCTCCTGCCATCGGATCAGCGCGGTGCGCCGGCCGCATCGCGCTGGCGGCGGCGGCCATTGGAGGGTGAACCAACGGCAAAAAAAAGGAAGACCTTTCTCTCTGTCTTTCTCTCTCTCACTGTCCACTCTGCCTGTCAAAAAAATAAATAAATAAAAAAAAAAAAAACTAAAATATCTTAAAATATTCCTGGGATGGTGTTGTGGTACAATGAATGAGTTAAGCCACTGCCTGCCACTCCAGTGTCCCAAATGAGCACCGGTTTGAGTCCTGGCTGCCCCACTTCTGATCCAGCTCACTGCTAATGTGCCTGGGAAAGCATAGGAAGAGGGCCCAAGTTGGGCCCTGGCCACCCATGAGGGAGACCCAGATAGAGTTCTGGGCTGTTGGCTACAACTGGGCCCAGTGCTGGCTGTTTTGTCCATTTGGGGAATGAACCATAGGATAGAAGATTCTCTCTCTCTCTCTCTAACTTTGCCTTTCAAATAAATAAATAAATCTTTTAAATATTTATATATATATTCCCTAATTTATGCATGTTTTGAGCTGCTAAGACATTAAATTTTAGTGAACATGATTTTTTTGATTACAGAAGATTCAATCATTTTTAAAACTATAAACAATAAAGATAAATAGGAACTAGACATTTCCCCAATTCTCATCCTTTTTTTGTGTCCATCACTTAACACTTCAGTCTGTTTCTCTAATCTTTATTTTTACAAATAGAAGTATACACATACAGATATTTTGAACAAAAACAAGATTTGTAAATGTATTTGAAAGTGTATCTGAGGGCCGGCGCCGTGGCTCAATAGGCTAATCCTCCACCTTGCGGCGCCGGCACACCGGGTTCTAGTCCCGGTCGGGGCGCCGGATTCTGTCCCGGTTGCCCCTCTTCCAGGCCAGCTCTCTGCTATGGCCAGGGAGTGCAGTGGAGGATGGCCCAGGTGCTTGGGCCCTGCACCCCATGGGAGACCAGGAAAAGCACCTGGATCCTGGCTCCTGCCATCGGATCAGCGCGGTGCGCCGGCTGCAGCGGCGGCCATTGGAGGGTGAACCAACGGCAAAGGAAGACCTGTCTCTCTCTCTCTCACTGTCCACTCTGCCTGTTAAAAAAAAAAAAAAAAAAAGTGTATCTGAATGCACTTTAAAGGGTTTGTAGAAAATGGAATTCAACAATACATTTACTTTGGTATAAAAAAACCAAATCCATGCATATAAGGAATCTTCAAAAAGTTCAAGAAAATGTGTACTATGAAAAAACTGCATGGATTTCAAAAAGTTTTGCACTAAGATAACTTATTTATATATATGTAGCTATTATACATGCGTAATTGTGATGACTTTTTAACATTACAGTGTATTGTGGGAATATTTTCATATAAACCTACCTTATTGACTGCCGAGACCGCGTCCAGCTCGGGACCACCGCACCTCGCCCAGCCGCTCCGCCGCCGCTCCACACCCCCGCTCAGCTCACCATGGATGACGATATCGCCTCGCTCGTGGTCGACAATGGCTCCGGCATGTGCAAGGCAGGCTTCACGGGCGACGATGCCCCCCGGGCCGTCTTCCCCTCCATCGTGGGGCGTCCGCGGCACCAGGGTGTGATGGTGGGCATGGGCCAGAAGGACTCGTACGTGGGCGACGAGGCCCAGAGCAAGCGTGGCACCCTGATGCTCAAGTACCCCATCGAGCACGGCATCGTGACCAACTGGGACGACATGGAGAAGATCTGGCACCACACCTTCTACAACGAGCTGCGCGTGGCCCCGGAGGTGCACCCAGTGCTGCTGACCGAGGCCCCCCTGAACCCCAAGGCCAACTGCGAGAAGATGACCCAGATCATGTTCGAGATGTCCAACACGCCGGCCATGTACGTGGCCATCCAGGCCGTGCTGTCCCTGTACGCCTCTGGCCGCACCACAGGCATCGTGACGGACTCCGGCGACGGGGTCACCCACACGGTGCCCATCTACGAGGGCTACGCGCTGCCGCACGCCTTCCTGCGTCTGGACCTGGACGGTCGGGACCTGACCAGCTACCTCATGAAGATCCTCACGGAGCGCGGCTACAGCTTCACCACCACGGCAGAGCGCGAGATCATGCGCTACATCAAGGAGGAGCTGTGCTACGTGGCGCTGGACTTCGAGCAGGAGATGGCCAGGGCCGCGTCCTCCTGCTCCCTGGAGAAGAGCTACGAGCTGCCCGACAGCCAGGTCATCACCATCGGCAACGAGCACTTCTGCTGCCCCGAGGTGCTGTTCCAGCCCTCCTTCCTGGGCATGGAGTCGTGCGGCATCCACGAGACCACCTTCAACTCGATCATGGAGTGCGACGTGGACATCCGCAAGGACCTGTACGCCAACATGGTGCTGTCAGGCTGCACCACCATGTACCCCGGCATCGCCGACCACACACAGAAGGAGATCACTGCCCTGGCACCCAGCACCATGAAGATCAAGATCATCGCTCCCACCGAGCGCAAGTACTCGGTGTGGATCGGCGGCTCCATCCTGGCCTCGCTGTCCACGTTCCAGCAGATGTGGATCAGCAAGCAGGAGTACGACGAGTCGGGCCCCTCCATCGTGCACCGCAAGTGTTTCTAGGCGGACTGTTAACCGCAGTGGCGGGACACCCTCTCTCGACGAAACCTAACGCGCAGAAAACGAGACGAGATGGGCATGGCTTTATTCGTTTTTTTTCTTTTTTTGTTTTTTTTGTTTGTTTTGTTTTTGTTTTTGTTTTGGCGCTTTTGACTCAGGATTTAAAAACTGGAACGGTGAAGGTGACAGCAGTCGTTGGAGCGAGCATCCCCAAAGTCCCCAAAATTCTGCAATGTGGCCGAGGAATTTGATTGTACATTTTTTTTTCTTTTGATAGTCATTCCAAATATCGTGAGATGCCATGTGACAGGAAGCCCCCGCCCACTCCTGCCAAGGAGCAGTCCTCACCCAGGGGAGGCGGCAGCATCGCTTTTGTGTAAATTATGTAATGCAAATTTTTTAAATCTTCGCCTTAATACTTTTTTAATTTTCTTTTTATTTTGAATGGTCAACCATCGTGGCTCCCCATTTTTTGTCCCCCAACTTGAGATGTATGAAGGCTTTTGGTCTCCCTGGGAATGGGTTGAGGTGTGGAGGCAGCCAGGACTTCCCTGTACACTAATGAGACCAGTTCAATAAAAGTCCACACCTGAAAAATAAATAAATAAACAAACCTACCTTATTGTTTTAGCATTAGCTTAACTTTCCATTATATGACTGTACAATTAAATTGTTTCCAGTTTTTATACTCTTGGTAACAGTGCTACCGTCAATAGCTTTAAACATTTGTTTTTATGCAGATGTGCAAGTATAAGCACATAAATAATGCCTGGAAGTGAGGTTGTTTTTCAGTTATAAACACATTATACCAGATTACTCTTCTTCTACCAAAATATAAGAGTTCCTCTACAACTGTGAAATGTTATATATTATGAATTTTTAGATCTTTGCTAATCAAATGATAAGAAATGAATACTGTTGTTTTCATCTGCATGTCCGATATTGCTAGTGAGTGTGATCATCTATTCCCAAGTTTATTGGCTACTTGCTTTTTAAGAATTTTTTGTAATAAAACTATAATTCACATTCTTTAAAATTCAGCATTTTTTATTATGTGTTTTTATTTATTTGAAAGGCAAAGTTACAGAAAGAGAGAGATCTGGCCAGCGCCGCGGCTCACTAGGCTAATCCTCCGCCTTGCGGCGCCGGCACACCGGGTTCTAGTCCTGGTCGGCGGGGTGCCGGATTCTGTCCCGGTTGCCCCTCTTTCAGGCCAGCTCTCTGCTGTGGCAGGGAGTGCAGTGGAGGATGGCCCAAGTGCTTGGGCCCTGCACCCCATGGGAGACCAGGAGAAGTACCAGGCTCCTGCCATTGGATCAGCGCGGTGCGCCGGCCGCAGCGGCTTTTGGAGGGTGAACCAACGGCAAAGGAAGACCTTTCTCTCTGTCTCTTTCTCTCACTGTCCACTCTGCCTGTCGGAAAGAAAAAAAAAAAAAGAAAGAAAGGAAAAAAAGGAGAGAGAGATCTTCTATCCGCTGGTTCACTCCTCAAATGGCCGCAACGGCCAGGGCTGGGTCAGGCTAAAGCCAGGAACCAGGAGCTTCTTCCCAGTCTCACACATGTGTCCAAGAGCCCAAGCACTTGGGCCATCTTCTGCTGCTTTTCCCAGGCCATTAGCATGGAGCTGGATAGGAAGTGGAGCAGCCTGAATTTGAATCGGCACCCATATGGATGCCGGCATCACATGCAGCAGCTTTACCCGCTACACCACAATGACTGCCCCTAAAATTCAGCATTTAAAAGTGAATAATTCAGTGGTTTCAGTGTATTCATCTGATTGTGCCATTGTCACCACTGTCTAATTCTAGGAAACAAAAAGTTGGGGCATTTTGGCATGATTTAAGGTTAAGAACCAGGAACGGTGTTACTGATAAGAGTAGGGATTTATGGGGCCAGCACCGTGGCTCACTTGGTTAATCCTCCGCCTGCAACACCAGCACCCCATATGGGCGCTGGGTTCTCGTCCCAGTTGCTCCTCTTCCAGTCCAGCTCTGTGCTGTGGCCTGAGAGGGCAGTGGAGGATGGCCCACGTGCTTGGGCCCCTGCACCCACGTGGGTGACCAGGAGGCAGCACCGGCTCCTGGCTTCGGATCGGCACAGCGCCAGCTGTAGCGGCCATTTGGGGGTGAACCAATGGAAGGAAGACCTTTCTCTCTGTCTCTCTCACTGTCTGTAACTCTACCTGTCAAAAAAAAAAAAAAAAAAAAAAAGAGTAGGGATTTAGGACACTTAGTTAATTCTCATGGTTGAACTGTAGATCTAAAAAATTCTGAAAGTTTAATGAGTTGAAGCTAAGGGTTGGTGAGAGCAAGCATGTAAGTTAGTTAATGTATGTAAAGGGCTTACAGCAATATTTCATGTTTGGTCTCTGGGGAAGCAGACACTGAGATAGAATTAGAAGTACCAAAGAATATTTGGGAATAAACTCTTAAATGATAAAAGAAAGGGGAAGCAAGACTGGGCTGGTGAAGCCTTTAGACGATCATGCAGATCTGACAGAATCTCTGCCGTCCTGTTAACTAACTGGGCAAAACTGCCCATCAGAACAGAACTCGGTGAGGCCGAAATGACCTGAGCCTAAACAATGTCAGATGGTGATAAATGTTAAGGATGGGGCCGGCGCCGCGGCTCACCAGGCTAATCCTCCGCCTAGCGGCGCCGGCACACCGGGTTCTAGTCCCGGTTGGGGCGCCGGATTCTGTCCCGGTTGCCCCTCTTCCAGGCCAGCCCTCTGCTGTGGCCAGGGAGTGCAGTGGAGGATGGCCCAGGTGCTTGGGCCCTGCACCCCATGGGAGACCTGAAGGCTCTGGCTTCAGATCAGGCCCAGCTCCAGCCATGGTGGTCATTTGGGGAGTGAGCCAGCAGAAGGAAGATTGCTTTCTCTGTCTTTCTCCCTCTCTCTCTGTAATTCTGACTTTCAAATAAGTAGATAAATAAGTCTGTAAGAAAATAAAATAGACTAAGGCAGGGCTGAAGTGAAGGCAGAGAGAACGGGAAGACAGTTGGCAAAGTTCTCACATGAGACAGTGGTCCAAGTGGTGACAGTGGAGAGGGCGAGAAGTGGCTAGATTCTGGATGGAGTCCAAGGCAAAGCCTATAAGATTTTCTGATGGATTAGACATGGAATGTGAAAAAAAAAAAAAAAAGAGGCATTAGGATAAAGCTAAGTGTGTTCGTTCTCTATTCTTCCATAACAAATTACCCCAAACTCGATAGCTTAAAACAAAAAACATGTATTATCTCATATGTTTTCAGTGGGTCAGGAATTTAGAAGTGGCAAGTTGGATGATTCAGGCAGGGTATTGCAGTCCAGATATAGGCCAGGGCTATGGTCATCTAAGGGCTTGATGGGCCCTGCAAGATCTCACACCTGTCAGTTGGTGCTGGCTGTCGGCAAGAGCTTCACCTCCTGGCCATGTGAACTTCCTCATAGGGCTGTCTGAACATCCTCATACCATGACAGCTGGCTTTCCCTAGAGCAAATTCTCTAAAACAACCAAGGTGAGAGTAGCTATATCCTGTAAGATCGAGTCTTAGAAATCACACACGATCATTTCTATCGTTGCACAAATCTTATTAGTTATGCAGGTAGCCATATTCAATGTGGGAAGGGACAAACGAGAGGAACTTACCAGGGGACAGAGATTGTTATGACCATGCTGGAGGCTGGCTACCACAGTGTATCCTCCCAAGCCCTCTCTGAAGTCTCGCGTTTTTAGATGAGGATTCCAAAATCCAGAATCCTGCCATCTAACCACAAATGAATGGAGTGCCACTTACTAAGATGGGGAAGACAGGAGTAGAAACAAGTTGAAGAGGGACGATCAATCAAGTGACAATCTTAGGTATGTTCAATTTGAAATGACAATTGGACTTCAAAGTAGACATTTCAAGTGTACAATTGAATATGAAAAGCTTGAGTTCAGAGACAACGTCTGGACTAGATATATAAATTTGGGAGTTTTCTGTGTATAGGTGACATTTAAAAATTCAAATTGGGATAAACTCACCAAGGCACTGGGTGTACATAAAGATGAAAAAATAAAAGAGGCTCTCCAGCATTTGGATGTCAAGAAAATGAGGAGGCACCAGAAAAGAAATCATGGTATGACTGAAAAGGAATAAGAATAGTTCCGTGATGCACACATGCAAATCAGTCCCCTTATGTTATACTCCACAAGGTTTCCTGCAGTTTCTAATGTCACACTGCCATTACCCTTGCATTAGCTGGGAAGTGTGCAGGCTCACTCGTAGCGGACCAGAGGACCACGCAATTGTCTCCTTGTGTGGCTCAGTGTCAAACTCTGTCCTTTGGTTTCCTCTTGCTTCCTTTTTCTACCCTCTCTTCCCCAGAATCTCTCATTTGCCTTGCCTCCACTGTTGTTATTTGCTCCTATAATTCCCATTTACCCCTCATGCATCTCAGAATAAAGCATGCTAGGTAGGACAGCCTTCCTGGAATGACATATTTTCACTGCTGTCACTGTAGTTGCCACCACCGTAGCAAGTTCTACCTTCAAGGATTTCCTTTTGCATGGCACTCCCTGACAAAACGTATCCTCTGAAGTCCCTTTGGAGCCAGCCTTGGTACCTTCTAACTTTGGGAAAAATCCCAGCCAGCAGCACAGAAGCCAGCATGACAAATGACAGAGCCTGGACGGGGCCTGGACTCCTCATTTCCAGAGCTGAGGCCACAGCACCAGGGCCCACCTGCTCTGTGCCTAGGTTGCTAATTTGCCATTTAGCCTTTTTGAAAGGAGCCAATTCCAGCAAGGAAGTCTGCTTAGGCTTGGTTACCCTGACAACTGCATTGTGTTTCTCCTTTTCTTTATCAAAGAGAGGAAGATACAAACAAAGCACCTAGGAATCAGTGAGGTTGCACAGGTTAACGTTCAATGCTAATGGGTTAGGGCTTATACTCAGAGGTGTGTGCTGATCTACCTGCCTGCTCTGCCTAGCCCAGTGTATCTCTGTGGGGCTCTATTAACAATTTTGGGAAAGACAGATCTCCATTATGCAGGATTGTCCCAGGCACTGCAGGAAAATTAAT